CTTTTGCAAAAGTTTCTCAAGCCATTCATTATTTAGATAATTCAGAGCGCATGCTTCCAAAGTCACTCTAAAAATAGAACCCGTTTCCCCTGTCTGGTCGGTGCTGGTGCCCGAGTGTGGGCTGCGTGCCTCGCAAGGAAGAAGCATTTACTGGTTTAGCAGCAAAACAAAGGTTATTTTTCTGTCTCTCTGTTTAGAGTTGGGAGATTTACCTTGATTTGTAATACATGAAGATGTAATCATTCCATGTCTTTACTCTTAAATTCTTTGTCTGTGGCTTATGTTCTAATGCCTCTGGTACTTCTCTTCCATTTGTCTTGAGAAATTCTCAATATAATTTTCTTGGAAGTTGCTCCTTAATGCTTTCTAGGACATGGGTAGCACTGGATGGTTATTTGCTGGAGTTAAGTGGCTTTTAAACTCGTGATGGTGGCACGCAAAAAGAAATTAATTTGACATCACAACTTAGTACGCGCACTCACCTGTGTATGTAATTGAAACAAATTCCTCGAAACAGTACCTACTTACATTTCATGTGAGGCGCTAATATTTTTTATTCCATTATATCTAGTTTGTTTTAATGCTTCTTGTGAACTCCTAGTGGGATTGCAACTCACAGTTTAAAAAGCGCTGCTTTAATGTATAGCTTCTATATTACACACGGGTCATTTTACCTTCCAAGAATCGCCCGTCCTTTCTGATATACCTTTCCTAAAGAGCCTTCACGACCCCAGCTTTACGTGCCAGCACCCCTTACTTCTGGTGATGTCCTCCCCACATAGTCCCCCTCCCCCCCCTGCAGCTTTGATGTGAAATGCACAGAGTCCTAGCCTAGCTCTTGCACAGTGACCTCTGCGGTCATCAGTACGTAGTAAGATTCAGATCATATCCTTCGAGTGCAATTCTAACCTAGAGATCAAAGTCTGTGGTGTTTCTTGAATGGATGTGTTCTTTGAGAAATTGCCTCTCGTTTATTTTGTAAGGACAGCTAAGCCTGGTGTCCACTTCAGTGCTGGCATCTCTGGCCCGGTGCACACAGTGAGAACTGCCCGAGGGCTGTGTTCGGGTTTCACTGGAGCTATTGTGATCGTCCCCAGGCTTTGAGGTCCAGTGATATTCACACGTACCTCTCACGTACCTCTCTCCGTGGCCTCTCAAGGGCACACACTTGTCCCTTTCCTTCGGAGGAATGGTCTTGAATGTAGTTAATCGTCATTTGGAACACAAACTCTGAGAGACTGTTTGGTATATTTATTTCACTTTTCCAGTAATGGAATATGGATTTTTGTTTCACCTTATGTGACACATTTCAAGGGCTCCATTTTGCATTGTCATTATGTTGGGAAAATATTTGATGGCTTGTCAGAAGGGAACATTTATAATTGTGTTACTAACCTGCACATTTTCAGCCTTTAGGATAGTGTGACAGGTAATTGAGGTTGAAATTGACAACAGTTACCACTTAAAAGTAAGCACAAGAAATGCCAATATGTACTGTGTGAGTTGAAACTAATTTGGTTTTTTGTAAGCTCTTAGGGTTAACATGATGCCTGATGGAAATAATTTTGTAATGGAAATTATTTAAGTGATTTGATTAATGTATTTTTATAAAATTGGTGCAAGGTGTCATCCTGTGGCAGTGATGACCTAATGGTGCTCTGATGGCCTCAAACCTTGGCTCTCCAGGGCCCGCAGCTAGGGATCCTGCCATATCAGCACACCCAGGTGTCCTTGAAATACTCCAGCTTCTCATTTTGGTGTAAAGGCCACTAGTAGGCCCTCTGGTCCCTCCTAGATCTCCTCTGTGGTATTGAAGACACATTTAATGTTGGTGTAGTGTCACTAACCTAAATATTTTACATCGCTTGAAATGTCTGTACTTTTGGCAACAGTGGGATGTTTTGAAACCTAGATCTCACCAACATGTTCCACTGACTGGTGAATCACTTTTTTAAGCCAATACCTCTTGACCATGTGCTGCTCTATACACTTGATCCCTATTTTATTTTTAAAAGGATTTTATTACAGTCGCCCTTGATGTAAACTAGAAAATAAGAGCCTTCTGTTTACTTTAAGGGTGAGGTTGCTCCGTCTTCGTCTGTTTTAGGAATGTTTTTTCAATGTAATGAGAAAACTTGTTAAGGTACAAGTGAAGCCGCCTAGCTTTGCAGTGAGTACCACTAGGATCCTGTCAACTTCGGAACAGGAGGTTGTGTTAAGGATAACATCCCAGATGGGCGTTTTAGCAGAACCCCCTTCCCCGAAGTCTCATAAACTGTGCTCTCATCAGAGTCCCTTCTCATCCACACTGTTGAGAGCCAGCATCCCGATGAGAAGCCCAAAGCTGGTACACAGCCACGCTTTCCTGCCCATTATTGAGATGGGGGACAGTGTATTAGTTAAGAGCCCAGACTCTGGAACCAGTCTACCCAGCTAGGAACCTCTCTGGTCTCTAGGTTCCCCATCTGTAAAATGGGTGTAATAATGGTGCCCACCTACTACAGCTGCCGTGAGGATTAGATGAGGCCTTGCCACAGCACTTGCTTTGCTACTGTAGCCCTGAGCGGCAGGTGCCTGTCTCTTGGTTCAGATGGTGAACTCATCTGATGGGTTTAGAACTCTAACATCTCCCAAGCAAAACAATATGGGCCCGTGGATGTTTTGTGAATTTTTGTTAAAATGCACTTAGGTTAATGATCGATAGATAGCTATTCAAAGAGAGCAGACTATGAAACGGAGCTTTCAGGTAAGACTGTCTTCTGATGGTTGCATCCCCGTGTCCTGTTCCTTCACCGCATCAGTAACAGTAGCAGGACGGGAGAGGGGACAAGTGGTAGAACCTCACTACTCTCATTAGGTAGACACACAAGTTATGGTCAGGAATCAGACATTTCTGTGTGTGTGTGGTTTTTTGTTTTGTTTTGTTTTGTATTTTGGCTGTGTTGGGTCTTCGTTGCTGCACGTGGGCTTTCTCTAGTTGCGGCAAGCAGCGGCTACTCTTCGTTGTGGTGCGCGGGCTTCTCATTGCGGTGGCTTCTCTCGTTGCAGAGCACAGCCTCTAGGCACGCGGGCTTCGGTAGTTGCAGCATGTGGGCTCTAGAGCTCAGGCTCAGGAGTTGTGGCGCACGGGCTCAGTTGCTCCGCAGCATGTGGGATCTTCCTGGACCAGGGCTCGAGCCCATGTCCCCTGCAATGGGAGGCGGATTCTTAACCACTGCGCTACCAGGGAAGTCCCCATTTCTGTGCTTTTGATAGTGGAATTAACTGACATTTACACTGGCTTTATAGTTAAATCAGACAAATTCAGAATGGGACTGCTCCCTAATTCTTTGGACAGTGAAGATGTCTACTTTCTGGGCCTTGTGCTGACTGCTGCTTGTTAAGATATACAGCATCGGCATCTGACGGCCATGTGCTTGATGGAGTATCCATGGTGGGCTGAGGCAGACATAGCTGAGAAAATAAAAGAAAGCAGAGTCTTGTCAGAAGGATGGGGGCTCTTCTCCTGCTTTGTGCACGCTCAGCCAGTAGTAACTGATTTTTAATTATCCTTCATGTATTGTTTAGAGGACACAGATAGTTTTCTAGTTAATCACATAAAAGGAAATTCGAAGCATGGATCAGATCATTTCAGTAAATCTTATTCACATTTATCTGCTGCTGCTTTTTACACGCAAGAAGAGAATGTTTTCAAGTGTGCTTCAAAAGCGTGTTTTGTAAATTAGAAAATTTCACAGGAAACCAGTAAAGAGTGAAAATAAGAGCCCAGGATTCGGAGTTAGGAGGTCTGGATTGTCTCATGGGCTTTTCCCCAGGCGAGCAGTAGGACAAGTCTGATTATGTCTGAAGAACTTTCCAGCTATAATAGGCATTTTGAATGTGGTAGAAGCAACTGCGTGTTTTTACGGGTAACAGAAGTCGTCGTGTTCCTTCTGGTTCACATCGCAGGTCATCTAAGCATCAGAGGCTCTGACACAAGCCCTCCTACAGCAGGACGTTGTGTCAGCATGACCTACTGGACACCCCGTGGTCCAGACCAGGGACCCCTGACCCTGAGTTATGACTTCCTGTGCTTCCCAGAGTCTGAAAGGGCACCTGTGAGCTTCTCCACGTGCGTTTCATCGAGGTCTGTGTGGGAGATGGAGAGGGCAAGAAGCACAGTGTGTCCAGAAATGTAACCAGTAGCTCATGCATGATCTTGGATTCTGAAGCAGTGTACTTACTAGACTGAAAGTTCAGTGCCATTTTTTAATAAGTAATGTATATGATATATTAATAACTGGACTCTGTACTCTTTC